TGAGATGAATCTGTATTTTAGGAAGATTTACTAAAGGCATAGTGGACTGAAACTAGGTCTGCTTCCCAAAGAAAAGCACTGTGAGATGTTCATGTTGGTAACTTGAAGGTGTTTTCCTTCTCTTTAGTGACAGTTCTTTCAGTATTACACACAAGGGTCCAATTATATTGGACGTGGTGCTGCAGAATGGCAGTATTCTCTGTGACCTCCTTCTTGTTTTATAATTAATTTTCCAGTTACTAAATTCTCTGCCTACACTGTTTTAACTTCTTCCTCAAATAACTGTTCCTGGCCCTTCTCAATCTATTCAGATTCTACTCTCTGATCCTACATTTTATTATCTTCCTAGGGCTACCATAATAAACTATGACAAACTAGGTGGCTTAAAACAACAGAAATTTATTCTCTCACAGTTCTGGAGTCTTTAAGTCCAAAATCAAGGCATTAGCAGGACACCACCTCTGAAGGCTCTAGGGAAGAATCCTTCTTTGCCTCTTCTAGCTGGTGGTGATTGCTGGCAATCTTCAACATTCTTGGCATGTGACTGCATCACTGATGCCTGCCTCTGTCTTGACATGGCCATCTTCCCTCTGGCTTATGTCTGTGTATGTCTGTGTCCAAAGGTCCCTCTAAGAACACTCATTACCCTAATCCAGTATGACCTCATCTTAACTTGATGACCCCTGCAAAGGCTATTTCAAAATAAGGCCACACTCACAGGTACAAGTGGACATGAATTTTGGGACAGTATTCAACCCTATACAGAGGTTTGCTGTTGTTTTTAGTTCAATTTCCTGATTCTCTGCTTTAAGTTCTATTTTCTAGGTAAGCTTGGAATAACTGAAATGAACAGGATTAATCATTCAGCTTCCTTTTGTAGTCTTCCAACTACCTTCTAGTCTTCCCATTTGTGAGTAGCTGACACTTTACTCTTCCTGCCTAGTGATTTACTTCTGTCTTCAAGTTTTAAGAGTGTTTGGGCCCTGTGGTAGCCAACCTCTGCCTACTTGGGTGTTTTACCTTCTCTCTGATGACTGATTCTCTATTACATATACTACAATATATGCATGTTTTTTCATTACTTCTGTCCTCATCTTCAGAACTCACCTGCTAAAGATAATTTTCCCAAACTTCCTTGTCATTCTCTTTGTAATTAACAGATTTGTCCTTCTCTTTTTGGAGACCTCTGATTACATTCAAAGTCATTCTGCTCAATATGGCTAGCTCATCCTGGTTCTCTGCCATCTATACCAATTGCTCTGTTTTCCAAGGCCTGAATCTTTACCCCTGCACCTGACAGAATTCCCACCTGATGGTCTCTTTTTTTTTTTTAATTTTATTTTGGTATCATTAATATACAATTACATGAAGGACATTATGTTTTCTAGGTTCTCCCCTTCACCAAGTCCTCCCCACATACCCATTCAGTCACTGTCCATCAACATAGTAAGATGCTGTAAAATCACTACTTGTCTTCTCTGAGTTGCACAGCCCTCCCTGTGCCCCCACATACACTATACATGTTAATCGTAATGCCCCCTTTCTTTTTTCCTGCCCTTATCCCTTCCTTCCCACCCGTCCTCCCCAGTCCCTTGCCCTTTGGTAACTGTTAGTCCATTCTTGGGTTCTGTGTTTCTGCTGCTGTTTTGTTCCTTTGGTTTTCTTCTGTTCTTATACTCCACATATGAGTGAAATCATTTGGTACTTGTCTTTCTCCGCCTGGCTTATTTCACTGAGCATAATACCCTCTAGCTCCATCCATGTTGTTGAATATGGTAGGATCTGTTTTTTTCTTATAGCTGAGTAATATTCAATTGTGTATATGTACCACATCTTCTTTATCCATTCATCTACTGATGGACATTTAGGTTGCTTCCATTATCTTGGCTATTGTAAATAGTGCAGCAATAAACATAGGGGTACATCTGTCTTTTTCAAACTAGAGTGCTGCATTCTTAGGGTAAATTCCTAGAAGTGGAATTCCTGGGTCAAATGGCATTTCTATTTTGAGCATTTTGAAGAACCTCCATACTGCTTTCCACAATGGTTGAACTAATTTACATTCCCACCAGCAGTGTAGGAGGGTTCCCCTTTCTCCACAACCTCGCCAACATTTGTTGTTGTTTGTCTTTTGGATGGTAGCCATCCTTACTGGTGTGAGGTGATACCTCATTGTGGTTTTAATTTGCATTTCTCTGATAATTAGCGATGTGGAGCATCTTTTCATGTGTCTGTTGGCCATCTGTATTTCTTTTTTGGAGAACTGTCTGTTCAGTTCCTCTGCCCATTTTTTAATTGGATTATTTGTTTTTTGTTTGTTGAGGTGGGTGAGCTCTTTATATATTTTGGATGTCAAGCCTTTATCGGATCTGTCATTTACAAATATATTCTCCCATACTGTAGGGTTCCTTTTTGTTCTATTGATGGTGTCTTTCGCTGTACAGAAGCTTTTCAGCTTAATGTAGTCCCACTTGCTCATTTTTGCTGTTGTTTTCCTTGCCCGGGGAGATATGTTCAAGAAGAGGTCACTCATGTTTATGTCTAAGAGGTTTTTGCCTATGTTTTTTTCCAAGAGTTTAATGGTTTCATGACTTACATTCAGGTCTTTGATCCATTTTGAGTTTACCTTTGTATATGGGGTTAGACAATGGTCCAGTTTCATTCTCCTACATGTAGCTGTCCAGTTTTGCCAGCACCATCTGTTGAAGAGACTGTCATTTTGCCATTGTATGTCCATGGCTCCTTTATCAAATATTAATTGACCATATATGTTTGGGTTAATTTCTGGGGTCTCTAATCTGTTCCACTGGTCTGTGGCTCTGTTCTTGTGCCAGTACCAAATTGTCTTGATTACTATGGCTTTGTAGTAGAGCTTGAAGTTGGGGAGTGAGATCCCCCCTACTTTATTCTTCTTTTTCAGGATTGCTTTGGCTATTCGGGGTCTTTGGTGTTTCCATATGAATTTTTGAATTATTTGTTCCAATTCATTGAAGAATGTTGCTGGTAATTTGAGAGGGATTGCATCAAATCTGTATATTGCTTTGGGCAGTATGGCCATTTTGACGATATTAATTCTTCCTAGCCAGGAGCATGCATGGGATGAGTTTCCATTTGTAGTGACCTCTTTAATTTCTCTTAAGAGTGTCTTATAGTTTTCAGGGTGTAGGTCTTTCACTTCCTTGGTTAGGTTTAGTCCTAGGTATTTTATTCTTTTTGATGCTATTGTGAATGGAATTGTCTTCCTGATTTCTCTATTAGTTTATTGTTAGTGTACAGGAAAGCCACAGATTTCTGTGTGTTAATTTTGTATCCTGCAACTTTGCTGAATTCCGGTATTAGCTCTAGTAGTTTCGGAGTGGAGTCTTTAGGGTTTTTCATGTACAATACCTGATGGTCTCTTTAATGATTTTTGCTTTATCAATGTTATGATCTGAAAGATTGTGTCCCCCCCTCCTAAATTTATATGTTGAAATCCTAATGCGCAGTACTAGCAGGCAGGGCCTCTGCAGGGGCTTAGGTCATGAGGGTGGTGCCCTCATGAACAGGATTAATGCTTTTATAAGAGAGACCCTGGGGAGCATGTGTGCTCCTTCCACTGTCAGGACACAGCAAGAAAGCTCAGCTATGAACTAGGAAACCACACCACACCTTGATCTTGGACTTCCCAGCATCCAGAACTGTCAGATACAAGTTCCTGTTGTTTGTAAACTAGCCAGTCTGGGATATTTTCTCATGGCAGCTGGAATGGACTATGACAATTAATGACCTTTTTTATTTCTTTTCCTTTATTTTGTCCTGATCCCTTGTTTTATCTCCCATAAAATTTTTGTAACATTTTTCAGATTTCCTCACTTCATTCTCAAAGTCCATTTTAAATTAATTTTTCTTCCCTCTTTGCCTACTTTCTTAGAGCCAATTTTAATTTTAAAACTAGCCTTTTTAATAGTTGTCTTTTGAAATGACTACAAATCAAAAGAATTTTGCAATCTCTATCAAAATAACAATAGCATTTTCCAATGAACTAGAGCAAATAATCCTAAAATTCATATGGAACCACGAAAGACCCTGAATAAGCAAAGTAATCCTGAAGAACAACAAAGCAGTGGGTATTATGCTTCCTGACTTCCATCTATACTAACTACAAACCTACAGTAATCAAAACAGTATGGCACTTGCACAAGAAAAGACCCATAGATCAATGGAACAGAATAGAGTCCAGATATAAACCCACACATACAGGGTCAATTAATGAGAAAGGAGTCATGAATATATAATAGGGAAAAGACAGTATCTTCAATAAGTGGTGTTGGTAAAACTGGATACCTACATGCAAGAGAATGAAACTAGATTACTGTCTAACTCCATACATAAAAGTAAACTTGAAATGGATCAAAGAGCTGTATGTTAAGACATGAAACCATAAAACTCTAAGAAGAAAACAGTGCAAGATTCTTTTCTTGAACGTAAGCATGAGCAATTTTTTCTGGACACATCTCCTCAGGCAAGTGAAACAAAAGCAAAAATGAGTAAGTGAGACTACATCAAACTAAAAAGCTTTACCAAAGGAAACATCAACAGAATAAAAAGGCAACCTACAGTATGGGAGAATGTATTTGTAAATTACTCATCCAATAAGGGGTTAACATCCAAAGTACACAAAGAACTCATACACCTTAACACCAAAAAAACAAAAAACCTGATTTAAAAAAGGGCAGAGGGCCTGAACAGACATTTTGCCAAGGAGGAAATACAGATGGCCAATGGGTACATGAAAAGATGCTCCACATCTCTAATAATCAGGAAAATGCAAATCAAAGCCACAATGAGGTATCACCTCACGGCAATTAGAATGACCGCTATCCAAAAGACAAGAAATAACAAGTGTTGGCGAGGCTGTGGAAAGCAGTATGCAGGTTCCTCAAAAAACTAAAAATACCATCTGACCCAGTGATTTCATTTCCAGGAATTTATCTGAAGAAAACAAAATCTCTGACTCAAAAACATGTGCACACCTATGTTTATTGTTGCTTTACTTGCAAATAGCTAAGATACGGAAGTAATCTAAGTGTCCATCAATATAGATGAATGGATAAAGAAGATGTGGTACATCTTGGAATACATACAATGGAATATTATTCTGCCATAACAAAAGGAAATCCTGGCACTTGTGACAACATGGATGAACCTAGAGAGTATTATGTTAAGTGAAATAAGCCAGGCAAAGACAAATACCCTATGATTTCACTTTTACGTGAAATCTAAAAACAAAACAGTAGTAGACTCAGACACTGAGAAACGACTGGTAGTTACCATGGGGGATGGGTTGGGGTGGGTGCATGGCGTTGGTGAGGGGGATAAACAGGCACAAATTTTCAATCATAATATACATTGGTCACTGGGATGGAAATGCAACATGGAGAATATAACCAGTGGTTCTGTAACATCTTTTTTTTTTTTCATGCAAAAGGTCTCACATATTTATTATTGAATAAACAGAATAGTGAAGAAGCATAGAAACAAAAAAAATCATTTCCCCAATAAAACACACCCAATTTCCCAGATCCTAGCAGTGTTTACAGAGTGAGATGGTAAGAGCATGTGACTTTGATACAGCATAAATAAGTGTGCCATCTTATGTGTGACTCCTTAAAGACCCAGCTTAGTTCTTCTCCAGTGTCTCCTCTTGGACTTGTAATAGATTTTATCATCAGTTTTCATCCGAATCCACTGGGGAATGGGACGATTCTGCTTTTGTTTCTTGGCCAGGAATCGCTTGATCCTGAAAGTCTTGTGAGAAGACATGGTGAGGAAGAGAGTCAACAGCAGACACCACAATGGCTGAGAAAAGGAGAGAGGGAGTTGTAACATCTTTCTATGTTGACAGTAACTGTACTAGGTGAGGTGAGGATTTAATAGTTGTGTAACTGTTTAATCAGTTGTAACTTGAAATCAATATAATATTGTATTTTAACTACATGTCAAAAAAAAAGACTTCTTAGCTCCTGTCTTCTGTTTCTTAGAAATTTCTGGGTTTTTTTCTTTCAAGTGAGGCTTATTTTTAACAGCTTGAGGTTTAGTTATCTTGCATATCCTGCTTTTTTATAGAAAGGAACTTTCTCCAATCTAAAATTATACACACCAGCCCTCAACAAGACTATAATGAGAGGCTTCGAGGTCACTCCACGAATGTAAGGCTTAGGTATAACTGCTATAGGAAGCACAGCCTGAGCTGACAGTTTTCTTTTTCAGGATTCTTCACCTGAACTTCTGTGTAGGTGCCCTAGTGGCTAAATCCTCCTTAACTCTCAATTTTTGGGATGTTACTTTGAAAATCAGTTCCAACACAGGAAGCCTTCTCTCTATGCAGTGTTTGACCCAGAGAAGTGTTCTGGAACTGCTGTTACTCCTGTGACAGGCCAGAATCAAAAGCAAGAGTGACAGATGGGCTGGGACTAGGGTAAGGAGAAAGAAGGTTAAGCCTTGCTCCTTAGGGTGTAGAGCTCTCTCTGACCTCTGACTCTGTGCCCTGCCTCCCTTGTTCCACCTCCTCCTCCACTTTGGCATGCTATGCAGCCTCCTCCCATGGTTCCTACTCTCTCTTGTTTCCCTCCACCGTTTCCCTGGAATACACAGGCTCCTCGGGTCTGTGTGCCTAAACTTCCCTCATGGAAAACAGAGATAGTCTTACCCGGGATGGGGTGGGGGGTAGGGAAACCTTATTTTCGTAGAAAAGCAAGTGGAAACCTTGGTTTTTCTCTTTTTGATCTAACCAGAGCCAATTTACTTTGCAATTATTTCCCACTTCTTGCTTTTCTTATTGTTAGTCTTCCTTCCATGTGTCAACTGGAAGTTGTTCAATTCGTACTTTGGTGTGTGTGACAGCTGATTTCTTCCTAATGATCCAACAGCCTTACCTGTATTTGCTGAAACAGGAATTTCACTGTTGTATGTCTGGAGGACAGACAAGTTCACTTTGAAATGGTCTTCTTGCCACTAATAAAAATATTCTTCTTGTAAAGATTCATCTGCAGTTGCTTGCTTGGGAACGCCACGATAATACAAAGAGAAAAGTAAGTTCGAATAAAACAGCAAACCTAATAACCACAAGAAAATATTTTTTACATCCTTGAAGCATGTTGTTTCAACAAAGTACCTGGGGAAAATTATGATGTCAATTATCAAGAGTAGCTGATGGGGTGCCAGATATTAAACATCCAGATACAGTAGCGGTGGATTAGTCCTACTACCATAGGGTGGGAATAGGAATCAGGGACAAGAAGGAAGGTATTTCTTTAACTAGGTAGCTAAAAACCTAAAAGGCGAGGGGCAATTTATATTTGATATACCCATAAGGGCGAATGGGGCAGGTCTGGTACCCGCAGGTCCGCTGTGAATTAAGCCGGGGCGGCGGTAATTTAAGGATACTGGGCAGGAAATCCAGAGAGAAGTATATGACCCTGAAGCCCCTCAGCGGAAGCGAGAGAGTTGTGGTTCTCACCAGAGTTGAGAACAAGCTCACGGGAAGCCTAGGATGTCTCGGACGCAGGCTCCATCCCAGAAGGGTCCAAAATGGAGAAAAGGCGATGGCGACGTGACCGCATTACGCGCTACTAGTATCTATGCTCACCATTGCAGCTCCAGCTCTCTCGAGGCACCGAACGCAGGACCGAACCGCCGCGGGTACCTGCCTGCCTGTGGCCACCCTTACTCCACCCTCGGGGAGGCGATCGCGATAGTCTTCAGCAGATGCGACCGAAAACCTAGTCCCGACTCCCCTGAATCCAGTTCCCGGCCCACCTTCTCTCCAGAGCCCACGACGGGTGGACAGCTGGGCGCGGGTCTCGTTACCCAGCAGGAAGAAATGGTGGAAACGGGGTTGTGAGAATCAGTACAAGCGCCAGTTGTGTGCTGCGCATGCGTCGAGACGAGGTGCCGCCCCCTCCCCATCCCCCTCCAAAGAGGGTGGGGCCGTAGAGCCTCGATAGAGGCGCAGGCGCTCTAGAGGATAGTACTCTCAGGAGGAAAATCGCGCGCGACGGAAGTCACGTGATAGTGGAACCATAGCGTGTCATGTGACTTCCTCAGTGGCTGGGACCGGTGGGAGACAATAGTAGCGCTTAGTGAGTAACGTGATACTGATGGACTTCAGGCCCCGGGGTCAAGTTCCATTACTCTAGCGGCACCTAAACTGACCCCACTCTCTTGCATCTTCTCGCTCCCCAGAGATGGGAGGCTACCCCTTTGTCACGGAGGGGAAAGGTGTTTGGGCAAAATGGAACAGGTGCCTGTGGCACTGTGCGGAAACCCAAACCGGCGCGCTGAGGCCTGAAGGTGTCCCGCGTTTCCCACAATGCCATAGGTTCCGCTGTGGCCCTGTGGGGCGCTGCCGCGTAGCGACGTCAGAACACGGTTTCCGGAGCAAGGCTCTGCGACCAGGCTGCACCCTTGGTAGTTCCGCCGTTTCATGCCGTATATTGGGGGATTTTTCATTTCTATGGCTCGAGGCCTCTGCAGTCGCTTCCCGGAATGGAGAAGCCCTGGGAAGGTACTTTGTCCATGTTCAGAGAAATTAAAAACCCCAAATCGTTTAAAAAAAAACGGAAAAAGTAGTCCCAAGTTTTCCCGGGAAGAGGACTCCAGGCACCCTGGCGTCCATGGCAAGTGAAACCAATCATGTTAGGAGAAAGAATAGTTCCCATTTTAATCAAATATTTCTAGAAAAATAGGGAAGGGGAGACAAAAGAAGGAAACACTTTAACTTATTGTGAGACCTAGTATAACCCTAATAGGAAAACCTGACAAGGAGGACAAACTGAAGGAAAATTATGTACCAGTTTTGTTCATGAATGTACATGCCAAAACCCATAAACAAAATATTAGTCAAATCTAGTAGTATATGAAAAGAATAATACCTGATGAGCAAGATGTTTTTTTAACATCAAAATTCAAGATACTAATAAAAATATCTCAATAACATAGCAGAAATTATTAAATACAATAAATGTGCACGGAAAACCACGAATAGAAGGGGAATTAATCTAATAAAGGGTATCTGCAAAAGAACAGTTACCAAAGATCCTACCTAATGGTAAAACATTGAGAACTCTGTCTTAAAATGTTCTGTTGGCAAACCCAGGGCCTTTGATTCTATGGAGTTGTCCTCAGTTTGGATTTTGCTGATTGCATAATTATGGAGCATTTCAACATATTTTTCTGCCCTCCTTCCTGCCAATTGGTAGTTGAATTATTTTCTTTAAACATAGTAAGTATAGTTGTTTTGAATTGTGTCTTGATGACTCCAATGTCTGAATTATCTATCAGGTTCCTTTCTGCTGCCTGATATTTCTGCTCTGTGTGGTCCATGGCCTCTCGTTTCTTTTGTGTTTGCTCTTATCGTTGAAAAACTTTCAGAGAAAAGTATTTATGGCATCTTCCAAAGAAGATTTTTGTTTGCTCCTGTTAACTGCCTTGAGGACTTCTCAGTGTGAGACCAGTTGTCATGGGTTTAGTTTCCTTGGGTCATTGCTGACTCAGAGTGAAAAATCTGATCAAGAGCTGCACAGTGGCTACATCTACTCAAATACAGTATTTATTTGTTTTTGTTTTTTTTCTTATTTTCTATTAGAGTCAATGTAAACGCAAACTTTCCTAAATTCTGGGGTACTGGTTTAACCTTACCCTTAGGGTATAGCCTGTGGACACCCAACTTAGTCCAGGAGGTCACTTAGTAGCATTTTCACCTTGAGTAGCTTTGGACCTTGACTGCTCTTTCCTTGCCAGTGAAGCCACCAAAAGCAAAGCTAGATGTTCCCTAACTGGTAAATGTCCTCAGGGCAAGAATAGCTTTTGTACCTTATTTGCTTTTCTGGGTTCCCACCTTCTCTTAGCTTTTGGCCTAATAGTTCCTTACTATTCTTGTCAGTAGTTTGATGTTTTGTAGATGTTTAAAAATAATTTATCCACCATCTTTAGTCATTATCAGTGGGCATATTGGTCTGAATAACCTAGCTTATCATAACTGGAAATAGAAATTGGAGATTTCATTCATTTCTTCTGTCTCATACATCAAGACACCTTGATGAATATTACTTCTTGCATTACACTTTTTTTCTTACCTATGTGCTTTGTAGTACATTGTTCCATTTTCTTCTAGCATTTACTTATGATGCACAGATTGTTAAAGCCAGCCTGATTTCACCTCTCCTTTGTAGCTTTCCTGCTCTTTTTGTATGAATAAGCCACATTTTTCAGTGTCAGACTTGGAGAAAATTTTCTTTAGTGAATCTCTTAGCTATTGAGTCTTCTTTCTATAAGATAAGTAAGTGAAGAACAACCTCCAGATACCAAGAAAATGCAGGAAATTGGCTACATTTCTTTTTAAAAAATATTCAGCATTCACATACACAGAAATATGACTGAAGATGCAAATATAGTTGTGGACATTCATTATTTATTGCATGCCTGCTGTGTGCTATTATCTGTACTATGTGCTTGATTTGTAGCTTTGAACATAAAATGTAAGTCCTTGATCTCATGGAGCTTACAGTCAACCCAAATAGCTAAATATTCAGGAATAACCAAACATGTTATTTAATTAGCATAAGATAAATTCTAGCCAAAATAAGCAGGTGACGAGAGGCAAGAAAGGGCCAGGCAGTTTATTTGAGCGCAATTCCCAGGCGAGGTTTCCTGGTCTGGCTATCACAGGCGAGGAAGTCACACCCAGGAGGGGAGGCGGGGAGTTTTTAAGAGAACAGGGAAGGGAGGGGGAAGTGGGCGGCACTAGGGGGTATGCAGAGATCTCCTCCTTCCGGATGGAGGGGATCTGCATCCGGGTTTGTCGGCACGTTATGGGACTGGAATCCAGGAAGAGCTGTTCATTCCTTCCCCATATGGCACAGAGCTACTTGGTGCTATCTCTGCTCCGCCTGCATTGTCTTCGCCCTTCTCCCTCCAGTGCCTCCAGCCTTACAATTGGAGTTGTGATAAGTGCAGCCATAGCAAAGTTCAGGATCTTATGAAAGCATAAAACAGAACTAGTTTGGAAGATTTGGGTAAGTTCAGTAAATAAGTCACAAATCAATTACAGACCTGAAGGGTAAGAAGGAATTGGTCAGGTGAAAAGTTTAGCATGAACCTTGTAGGCAGAGGGAGCACTTTGTGCAGGGCCCTGAGGTTGAACAAAGCTCAGGCCTTCCAGGAACTGAAAAGTCAATGGAATTTAAGCATTATGAGCAAAAGAAGAGGGTTGTCAAGATGAGTCTGGAGAGACAGGACAAAGCTCAGGCATACAGACATTGTGGGCAACATTAAAGAATTGTGACTTCATCCTGATAGTAGGGAGAATTATTAGAAGTTTTTTTAAGCATAAGAGAAATTTGATTATATTTCTGTTTTTATAATATAACTAGCTGCAAATAGAGGATGGGCATAGGTACAGGAAAAATGAAGGCTCCAGTTTGGATATGATTGTAGGAGTCCAACAAAAGATCAAAGACATTTTCAACTTTATTGGTGATAGTAAAGAACCAAAGAAGTGTACATATTCACAAAACATTTGGGAGGTAGGATCCTTGAGGTATGGGGATGAATTTGATGTGATGAGATGATTAAGAAAGCTTCCAGGCTTTTCTGAAGGAATCTAAGATTCCTCTCACTTTTCTCAGGAAAATAAAGCTTTATATTCTCTTTCTGGAATAAGGCTTACTCTAGGAAATGTTAAACATTGAAAGTTTGGTTAATATGAAAAAACAGGGAAACAGAGAGTCAGAGAGGGAGAGAGGGAAATTCTGTAAAATGAGCTAAATAACTGCTGTATAGCTTGTGGACCTCTTCAGGAAATCCAAGGAGTTAAAGTCCCAGCTGGGGAACTACTTTCTGGACTCACCCTCTGGCTGTGCTCCCACACTGCCATCCCTTACCTTTCCTGGACCCCAGGTATCATCCTAGTTTCTGGGATCTGACTTACCATGACCTGGCCCTCACCACGGTCACCAGTGCCCCCTGTGTCACCCAGACATTCTATTCTCCTTGGATTGAACTCTAGTTCCAACTTTGCCACCCCTGCCCTGATTACACAAGACTTTCTTTCCTGGATAGTAGCTACCAGTTATTGAGCATCCACTTCATGCCATCCACTTTACTCTGTATGAAAAGCTACATTATTTAATTTAATGCTAACAAATTTGAGGGAGAAGTATTATCACTTTTACCATTGTCAAGATGAGGAAAATGTAGAAACAAGGTCAAGGAGTTTAAATACCTAGCCCAAGTCCACAGATCCTATAGTTGGCAGGTCTGGGGTTCAGCACTGATCTGCCCCACTCCAGAACCCTGACTTCACAGGTTGCTCTGTCTGGTTTAGTCTCCCTCTCAGATTCTTACCTCTGCCTGTTTTTATGAGCCCAGGCCAAAAATATGACTTGGTTTCTAATGGTTTCCTTGGTGTATGCATTTGGTTTGTTATTCTTAACCTTAGACTACAACCTGATGCCTTCTAACTTTGCTATAAAGGCACACAAGAGGGGCCAGAGCCCTGCCTCTGAGAAAGCAATTTCTGTGAACTCCATCTGGAATACTGAAGACAAGTGGATAAAAGACAAAGTAGCTTTGATGATTAGTTGATCATTTGTTGTTTTCTTATTAACTCTGGCTGCACCCTTTACTTTCTTCAAGACCCTTGTTTTAAAAGAAGAGGGTTGTCAAGATGAGTCTGGAGAGACAGGACAAAGCTCAGGCATACAGACATTGTGGGCAACATTAAAGAATTGTGACTTCATCCTGATAGTAGGGAGAATTATTAGAAGTTTTTTTAAGCATAAGAGAAATTTGATTATATTTCTGTTTTTATAATATAACTAGCTGCAAATAGAGGATGGGCATAGGTACAGGAAAAATGAAGGCTCCAGTTTGGATATGATTGTAG